CAACCTTGCAAATATGTATTGACAGCTGTTTAGAAATTCTATGAATTCTTTAAAATTTTGTTAATAATTTAATTGCTATAGCTATTAAAATTCAGGTTACGGTTTAACATAAATTGTAGATATTTTATGTTTCAACTACATCAAGTGCTGTATTTTCAACTTTGATTTGGATGTTCGCTTACATTATACTCCTGTTATTCAATTATGCTTTTGATTTTTTTGCATTCACATTAAATTTGCTTATTTTCAGATCAATGTTACAATATCAACATCCTGGTACAGGTTTTTTGCAGGCTTAATACACCAACATGTCATCAGCAAATAGATTTATGGAGCTACTTATCTGAAGCAGTTCCATATCATTTAAATATGTAAAACAACGGTCCCAGAACACTCCCCTGAGGAATTCCGAGGTCTACAGTCAATAACTAACTATCGATTTTAAAACTAAATTCATGACATAGTTTTTTTTGTTATTTAAAATAAACTGCCCAATTTTGAGTTATGTTAAATGATCTTGTAAATTATTGATATTCGTCCATAGATATAAAGAGCAAAATTTATTGAATTTCAAGCCCCTATTATACAAGGTGGGCCATTAAGTTGAGCGGATGTAGAAACACGAGAAGTTTATTTTTTAAAATAACGTCATTGAAATGTGAGTCATCGAGACGTACACACTCCTCGAATCCAGACTTCAAATTCGTAAAAACTCGCTGGCACATTGCAAGTGGGATAGCGGATATCTTGCAAATGTTGATTTTGAGTTGGGAAATCGTAGTCGGCTTAATGTAAACGCGGCTGTTGAGGTATCCCCAGAAAAAACACGTCGCGTGAGATCTGGGTTTCGGTTTTCCACTAAACATCTTGTTTACAACTGCTAAAGACCCGTTAGCTGTATGTGGTGTCACGCCATCTTGTTGAAACCAGGTCCGGCTGTTGCACTTATAGAAATAAAAAGTTATGTAACCAGTCTTGCAAATATGTATTGACAGCTGTTTAGAAATTCTATGAATTCTTTGAATTTGGTAATAATAATAATAATAATAATAATAATAATAGCCTTTATTTAACCTGGCGGGGGTCAGCTAAAAGCTGTTTTTCATACCAACCAGCGCCAAACAAAATTATAATACAAAATCTGGGAGTCATAAACATTGTTGAGCAACAATAATGAAAAATCTATTATGCCAAGAATAGGCATTTTTTTAATTTAAAGAAAAAATCATATATATTCCCAGTTAACAGTTACACCATTACATAAGTTAAAAACTAAATAATATAAGGTATTATGACATATTTTCAAAAACAATTTTTTTTACTTTTGACCTAAAAAGTGGAACAGATAAAACTTTAAAGCTGACAGGGAGCATATTATAGCGATTGGGTGCAACAAAAGAGAAACTCTTAGTAAATAGGGTGGTTCTATGATGGGGCGTGTTAAGGGTGTAACCAACGAAACGGAGGTTGGCTGCATGATGCTGACTTCTCAAGGATAACTTATTATTTAGTATATAGGGTATTTGGTCAATAAAATGCTATGAACCAAACATAAAATGTGAACCAACCACCTCTGCCTCATCGTCAACCAATTCACTTCTTGAATAAATGGAGACACTCGCTCCCTTCTTCGGATTCCAACAGAATATCTAATACAGCTGTTCTGCACTTTCTGAAGTCTGTAAGCTTCGGCTTCAGTCAAACAAGGACCAAACACGGAACTTCCATATTCTAACTTACTTAAAATGAGTGAATCGCAAAGCTTAATTTTAGTATCTTGAGCCAACACATGCTTAAAGCTGTAGATGCTTTTTAGTTTAGCAAAAGAGCCCTGTACAACCTTAGAAATATGATCATGAAAAGTTAAGTGCTCATCAAAGATTATTCCTAAGTTTAATACCGATATTTTGTGTGTGAGCTCTTCACTATTGAGGCATAGCTTTATAGCATCTCCACTGAACTCGTTCTTCTTAGAGCGGAAGGTAATTATGGCCGATTTGCTACAGTTTATGTGTAACCCGTGGTATCTAAACCAATCACAAACGCCGCGTAAATCTACTGCTAGTTTTTCATTAGCATCAACACATGAGGAGGGATCATAGGATAGATAAAGCTGGGTATCATCAGCATAAGAATGTAAAGCGCAATGTTTGACCGACCGATCCAAGTCCGACACGTATAAAGTAAATAAGATTGGTCCTAAAATGGAACCTTGCGGCACCCTCTTTACAATGACCCGATTGTCAGAATAGTCACTGCCTATTTTAACTTGTTGAAGTCGATCTGATAGGTAATTGTCAAACCATGTAATCAAATTCTCAGAAAAACCAAGAAAGTGCAGCTTAGCCAATAACATTTTGTGGTTTAAACAGTCAAATGCCTTTCTTAAATCCAGCAGAACAGTTGTAGTTACGCAGGAATTATCTATAGCTCTCAAGTAGTCATCACAAATGTCAACTAATGCAGTCACAGTACTATGATTTTTTCTAAATCCCGACTGTGTATTTGGAATTAAGCTGTATTTATTGATGTGTGTTAGCATTTGCTCGTAAACGATCTTTTCTAGAATTTTTGACAAGAGTGAAAGTATGCTTATAGGCCTGAAATCGCAAGGCAATTGGGGATTATCGATTTTACCAACGGGAATAACAGTTGCGGCTTTCCATATGAGTGGTACGATACCATGTTCCAAAGAAAAGTTTATAATATGAGTAAGAGCCTTGAGGCAAAAAGGAAGAATATAGGAAAATGTATCTATATTTAATCCATCTAGTCTGGTAGCACGCGAGTTTATTTTTTGAAAGGTCTTCAAGACTTTTTCCTCGGTAACAAACTTAAACTGAAATAGGTCATTGATATTGGTAGCATGTGGGTGTTGTAGTACTCTAAGAGTGTTTCATTTATTGAGTTATCGGGAACTGAATCCACAAAACAGTTATTTAATATGTTGGGTTCCAAAGTACACAGATTATTTTTATCCTTAGAACCATGAATACCTAGCTCCTTTATAGCTTTCCACCAGCTCCGAGAACTGTTGCTTTTTCTTAGCTGGTATTCAATATATGCTTTTTTTTCGCGCCTAATAGATGCTGTGACTAGATTCTTAATTGCTTATAGTAGTTCCATTTGGCAGTTTTTATCTCGTCAGAAAAATTGTTCTTAACAGTTTTCTTATACTTAGAATAGGCATTATTGCGTAACCGTATCATGAATTTAATATTGTGTGTAATCCAGGGACGTGCTTTTGATGTCTTCCTGGTTTTGTAATGTAATTGCTATGGCTATTAAAATTCAGGTTACGGTTTAACATAAATTATAAAGATTTTATGTTGTCAACTACATCAAGTGCTGTATTTTCAACTTTGAATTGGATGTTCGCTTGCATTATACTCCTGTTACACAATTATGCTTTTGATTTTTTGGCATTCAGATTTAATTTGCTTATTTGCAAGATCACTGTTTACAATATCAACATCCTGGTACAGGTTTTTTGCAGGCTTAATACACCAATGTGTCATCAGCAAATAGATTTATGGAGCTACTTATCTGAAGAAGTTCCATATCATTTAAATATGTAAAACAACGGTCCCAGAACACTGCCCTAAGGAATTCTGAGGTCTACGGTCAATAACTAACTATCCATTTTAAAACTAAATTCATAACATAGTTTTTTGTTATTTAAAATAAACTGCCCAATTTTGAGTTATTGTTAAATGATCTTATAAATTAAGAATATTCGTCCATAGATATAAAGAGCGAAATTTATTGAATTTCAAGTCCCCTATTATACACGGTGGGCCATTAAGTTGAGCGGATGTAAAATAACGTCATAGAGACGTACACACTCCTCGAATCTAGACTTCAAATTCGTGAAAACTCGCTGGCACATTGGGATAGCGGATATCGTGCAAATGTTGTTTTTGAGTTGGGAAATCGTAGTCAGTAGTAGTCATCTTGTTTACAACTGCTAAAGACCCGTTAGCTGTATGTGGTGCCACGCCATCTTGTTGAAACCCGGTCCGGCTGTTGTATGCCTTAAAATTATGCACTTATGGAAAGAAAAAGTTATGTAACATTGTTGTGTAGCGGTTAGAATTTACTGTTACAGTTTCTCGTTTTCAAAGAAATATGGTCCAATGATTCCTTCAGCCGACATGGCTGCCCAAACTGTAACTTAACGTGAATGCAAAGGTGTTTGGTGTTTCAGTTTAGGATTTTCTCCAGCCCAATACCTGTAATTTTGCTTGTTGACAAATCTTTTACAAATATATGCCTTAAAGATGTTCTTGGTAAGGCGATCTCACCTCATCTCTTTTGGGATGATAACTGCCATAGGGACGTCGCAACTTTGTTTACAGTTTCCTCTGTTTGTATTGACCTTGGAGGCACTGCAGATTTCTGATTCAGTATCGGGCCTGTAATCTCAAGCTTTCTGACCCACAACTTTTCACTAGGGCAGTGATATAGATCATTTCAACTAAACTCAAAGCAAAACGGACGCCATGCAATAGTGCATCAATCTCCATTATATAATAATACAGTGAACCTTTACACAGAATACACACTGCTCACTGGTGAAATGTTCCATAGCAACTAAATTTCCGAGCACCAAGATACTTATCCCTACTACCAGCGGCCTGCTCCTGCATGCCTGTCACAAGCATCTTGTTTTTAAATTTGAACGCCTTTCTGGCTCTCTTTGTATATACTCTATAAAATATCTGGGAGCTAACATCAACATTCAGTTTAATCTAATCTAATCAATGCTTAAAATGAAATAACGTTAAGAATTGAACAAGCAAATACAAGAATTAAGCAGATCAGTCCAAAAGATCACATCCTGGAAGTAAGATGGTGTAACGATGATGCATGGCAGCCATGCAGTTGCTTAACAATTTTGCTTACTTTAATTAGACTATTCCAAAATTGACTAGCACTATTTCCAGAACATGTAATTTTTATATAAGTATTTTTGTTTTCAATATATTTTGTAGACATACCTAACTTTGTTTTTTGGCAACATTACAAGCAGGCACAACAAAATTCTAAAACTTATGTCAAAAAAAAACTATAATGCAGGAATTTCCAATGTTTCCCGACTTCAATGGCCTCTTCTCTGATCACTTTTATTTCCCATGATATTTCAATTACTTTCCTAACTTCCTGGTTGAAATGTCACCATGAATTATCTAAGATTCTGATCATAAAATGTCTGCACTTACAGATCGGCTTCATGTCTCAGTTCATGGTCTGACTTAAGGCTTCTCTCAAATTCTATTTCAGCAATTAGCGTCTTATATTCTTCTTGTAGTTCATTAAGTTGTGGTGTAATAACTGGCTTTCGCTCCAAGCACACTGCAGCATACAAATCCCATTTTACTTTTGCAGCACAGGTACTTGAAAATGCTGGAATAGTTATAACCCCATGATTTTCACGCTAAATAAAACCACACGTCAGTAAAAATAGTAGTTTATACACATTTGCTTTCATTTGGCTAGGAAATCAGTTCGTTCAGTATGGAAACCACATGATAATTTTCATTAACCGTTAATATTGAAGAATTAAGCAATCTCTTCTATGTACAGAAATTATAATATCTACCTTTTCCTGAATGTATGAACCTTTTTGAATAGATAAGATATGATTTTAACATGACTATACTATTTATATTAGTTAACTATTCACACAGTTTATTAAAAATGCTAAATTGTTTCCTCTTTTTTAATGTTGCTCCAGTTTTTAGATTAATTAAAAATCAAATAACAAATATATGACAAAAGTTAGGTTATGTTGTTATCACAAAGCAAAAAGACTACTTTAATCAAATCCAAGGGGATAACCAAAATTTCCGTATTATCTACCGCGGTTATTATGGTTCAAGATGACACACGGGATGATGACGTCATGTTACTCGAATGGCTTGAACGCGTTGGTTTTAACCACCGTTTGTTGCAAGTTGTTTATTTTAGAAAAGCGCGTATATAATTTCTAATTATTTTTATTATCACTTAATAATAGATGCTTTTTCGTCTACAACGGGTATGGAAAGTTGAAAAAAGAAAACTTTCATAATATTAATGGGAGGAATGTTTTTTTTTCAGAAAAAATATTTACTGATGAACCATGGCTTTGTAGCTATGATAACTTTCAATTCTCTAAACTTTTCCGCATATCAAAGAAAACATTTATTGATTTAGCAGCAATGGTAGGAAAAAGCGATGAAAAAAGATATTCGCAGAACCGCATACAGGTGGACATCATCCAGTGAGTTTATATGGCGATATTTTAATGTTCTTGTGGTATATGGCTACACAGGATACTAGATTTAAAATATCCCCAACAACAGTAATGATTATAACTAATAAGGTGCTCTACTTTATACTAAAACTGAAGTCAGCCTGTATTAAGTTTCCCAAAAATGAAGCTGAAGTACAATAAAAATATCAAAAACCCGGCAAAATTCTAACTTGTCACATGTCAAATAATAACCAGAAATATAAAACTACTCCCGAGATGGGTAAATACCACAATTTTGCGGTGATAGCTATGACATAAAACAGCTGATTCATGACGTCACGGATCTTATAAATAAACTGATATCCACACTCGCTTGAACGGATCGGTAAATACCAATCCAAAATGGTAAATACCATTTTCATTTGGTTATCCGCTTGAATTTGATTTATATGGTATATAACTTTTGCCACAAAACCCATATACACGGGAGAAGGCATAGTCCGGTGCTATCCATACGCCAACATGATTGACTTATGTCACTGTTGAGCCGCCATTTTTTTCTGCATGCATCATGGTTGCCAAATGCTCTTTGCATAAGTCTGTTAGTCTGAGGCTGTTGTATAATTTTATAGTGTGCATTTCTAATTGTATATCGAAAGTTTTATAACGGCATGTGTTATTAACATATTTTTGCTATTTTCACAAACAAGTACTCACTTATCTGTTGGAGCAGCAGCGTCAATAACACAGGTCAGCATGTATCCTAGTTATTTGATTTTGAGAACAGTGAAAAAAATATATACCTACTTGAGAATATATTTTTATCGGAATTTTATATTGTACGAACATATCAATAATATTCATCCATATAATTTCATTCCTGAGTGGTCTTCTGAAGCACCTGAATGGAAAAATTGTTAAAATTAGTGAGGAATGCAAATTCTTTTCAAAAAGAAATAAGAGTTGTCGTTAACGACCGCAAGCTCACTAGAGCTACCAGATTTACAAAACGGATATTTAATCACATTTCCATGACATACAGGGTATCCGCAAAGTTGGGGTTTTCCTTTTCAGACACAACTACGCTTGATATAATAAAGCTAATGTGTGGTGAAACGAGAGCGAACTAGTAAAAAAAATGAATCTGTTCAGTTGAATTCAAATTCCGAGTACGGCTCTGTCGTAAAAACCGTATTTATATCGTAGTAGTTACATGCTGGCGCTGGCGACGTGATCGAGGGATAGTTCAGGACCGGCTTCGGTTTGGTTCAGGTTTGATTGAGCTTGCGGAACCCAATATCTCGATTTTCTTAAGACATTGGTGTATATGCTACTAAGAAAATCCACTTATTTTCTCAAGATCTACATGTCGTGTAAAGGAAAAAACCCCAACTTTGCGGACATCCTGTATATTATCAGAATATCTGTCTTTCGATTCATTCTTATCTGCTTCTTATTAAGTTATAAATATTTAGAAATCTAACAACCCTTTATGTTAAAGTACATATTCAAGCTTGACACCTATAGAAACTGTCGTGACTTTTTCAACTACAGAATACCAGTATTATCAGAGAATCTCTCAAACTAACATTAGCCATGATCACCAAACGCATTAGACATGATCCTGAAGCACTCAGTTGTCTGGATATATTCCCTGGAGAAAACAACAGTAGCACGTAATCTATTATTCGGTGATGGTACACATACCATAACCTCATTTAGGGGTTATTGCAGGTTTAGCATGTACACAACAGTGTAGTTTGTAATTTTGCACAAAAAAATCTTGGATATAGCACTCTTTATATAGAAATTTGTTTTCCTTAACACCATTTTCCAGCAGTACATTGACGTCAAAAGCAACACAAAACAAGTGACGTTGGTGAAGAGACCACAGAATATTGATGATCGATCACAGGACAGAATGGATGCAAATTTTAACAGCGCCGCTGTATTTTTAGTTTATTTGACCTTCATTATGTTGTTCCAGAAAATACTGTTTTTATTTGTTGTCTTAGATTATTTATTATGTTATGTCACACAATATTCTTTTCGTTCATGTATTAGCCCATTTTTATTAATTTTACATAATTAGTTTATTGAATTGTCGTTTTTTCTACAAGATGCTGTTTTAGATTATTTATTCACGTATTTTTAGCAAATAAACCTTTTAATTCTTTTATTTTCATTATCATATATCTCTTGTGCTATATTCTCAACGTCACTTGTTTTGTGTTATTTAACGTCAAGGTATTGCTGGAAAATGGTATTTTGGAAAACAAATTCCCATATAAAAAGTGCTCGATCCAAGATTTTTTGTGCAGAATTACACATTACACGTGTACACATTATACCTACAATAAGCCCCCAATACGAGATTATGTTAAGTGTACCATCACCCCCTGTATACCTTATTTCACGAGTATCCATCACGCTTGACGTCTACTAAGATGAACAGCTGATCAGCAAGTGAATTTTTTTTGTGTTAGTCTGCCACGTTGGCAATAATGAATCGGGACGTCTATAGTAAAAAACCTATAAAACGTCAAAGAACCAATAAAATGTCATCTTGCAGACTAGGTAGTTTTTAGGGTGCAAATAGTTAATTCCACATTTGCTCGCTATGATCGCCGTGAGCGTCCATCTATGGAGGAATGACTCAACTACACGCATTGATGGTTGCAGAAAGCAAGTATATGTTTTGTGAAGCCGAGTAATCCGTAGTGTTTGACTCTAAGATGTGAAAGAAAGAAAGTTGGTTGAACAGCAGTATCGTATCTGAATGACTATAGAGATTTTTCGCGAGATCCCGTAGTGAAGAGGAGCGGGAACAGATGGATTTTCCCCTTCTTCTCGAAGTTTTTGCAGTTTCAAGTTACACCGGGAGTTGTTAGATGGCGCAGGTTGGGCAAAATGTTTGCTTTAAGCTCCTTGATAAACTTAGCTGCGTTGTTTGAATCTAAAATAAAAAGACCGATCGTTTTTTACAAAATCTAAATGACTGGAAATAAAAAATAATGTAATAACCTTTTCACTTTCATAAATATTTCTGTCCGTAGAATACATTTTCTCACCTGTTCCTTCACCAACCAGGGATTTTCCCTTCCTATCTCTCTCATTTTTGAAATTTAACAAATTTGCATATGTATTCCCTGAATTAATAAGAAAAAGTGGATGCGCGCAAATAATTTTTAGCTTTGAATCTCAAGTAAGTGTATTTGAGACAAGAAACCAATGGAATTATCATCAACACATTATTAGCACACAAATCCTCACTATTCACGTATGCACTGCCGTTTCCTTCTAGCTATAGTATTGTACATATAATACAACTTACAGCTTAGACCACCAATAATACTATCTTTGAAGCAGATTTTACATCACAACAGAGCTGTACATTGATACTGAACTGAAGCATCATGGCGTTTAGGCAACACGTACAACTATAAAACGAGTTTACAAGTGCCCATCAGCTAGTGCTAAGTTGACATCTTGTAAAAAAACCTACATAATGTCACAAAAAATATCGACAATGTCAGTTTTCAAGGTACATGATACTCATGAAAAAGACTATACTCTATCTATATCTCTGCTCACCAGGGGTTAGCTGTGAAATGAAGTGCCTTCAATTCTGCTTCTGAATGTTTTATAGCACTCCACATATGTAGAAATCGTCAATAGTCGTAATGTTCTATCAAATACATCCTTCCAATATAGAATCTCTCTATCTCTAAGAAGAAATAAATGATGAGTTGGTCTCGTAGACAATTTCACCAAAATGTTAGTTGTATTCCAGATTCCAAAGATCATCAACTCAACAAAACAATGTAGTTCAAATACGGTTTTAATTATTATAATAATACGTAAAACTTGTGATCACCAAAAACCTAAAACATTGATGCCATCAACATAAAAATGAAGTTCGGATTACTGTGGGAATTTAAAAAATGACAGCTCTAAACTGCCATACTACGAGATAGTCAAAGCCGCCACTTTTCGTGGTTATAACAATGTTGTCAGCTTGTACTCCAACAACCCCACTTTGTTTCCTATTGTCTCATATGAGTTGACTCGCCGTTCATCCGTTCATTTTGCAAGTGAAGTGAGGCAGTCAGACATGAGGCTGTAAAATCTGATGCTTGACTCAGTTGTGAAAGGAATCTCATTATATTTAAACGGAGAGTTAGTAAATTGAACGTGCAATAAACTAAATAAATTAGGCGAGGTGAGCTTATATGAGAATCTGTATAAATTGAACGCGACTAATGTTATCTTAAGACGGGAATAAAAGTTGCTCATCTGTAGTTAGAGCAAAGCATTTTCCAAATGAAATCGAAGAAGCTCAGTTGTATGTTTTTCTTTAGGAATATGGCAATTAAACTGACATATGATGGATTTTTTTATTATATCACATCTGAAATAAGTGGCAATAGTCATAGTTTATATTGATTCATTTTTATTTGTCACAGTGTGAAATATTCAATTTTTACTGTTTGATTTGTTTTTCTTCAACGCAAAGCTGCGTTAAAAAAACAAATGAAATATCAGTTTTAAAGATAAACAAAAACAGTGGCATTGACAGAAATTACAGTTGACGCCTCGTTGCAAAAAGATGGCGGCAACGGTAAATCGTGTTGCCCACCGAATTGTTCTGAGTAGGCGCTCTTTCCGTGTATGTTTATGGTAATGCGAGTCCCACACGATGCTTCCAACGTTGTTTACAACGTTCGACACCCTACAATTGGCAAGTGTGTCTCCTACACGATGGGATGAACTTTTTAGTCTCGGACGTACGACGCATGGTGGTGCCAACTTCTATTATCGGTGTCAGTGTGAACCTCTACAACGGAAGGAAAAATTATACAAAATAAACGATGAAACAATTTTTTCGAGCGCCGAAAAGTAATTTCAGATCTGTCCTCAGCGACCAAAACTTAAGTCTGTCAGAAACCTCAAAAATGTCGAAAAAATAAGTTTGGCAGTTTTTTGTTTGTTTTCGACGATAACTCCACCGCCATTCTACCGATTTTCAAAAACTGCAGAGCTTTTTCGTCATTTTCATAGTAACAACCTACGGTCAAAATTTCATCAAAATCGTTATAGTACTTTCAGAGTTATCATTTATTTAATCATTTTCGTTAGTTATGAAATGCAAGTCAATATATCTTTCAACTAGTCTTGCATTGCAACAGGACATTATAATGAAAAAACTGTAAGCACTTCATAATTTATAATTTACTAAAATACATATCCTTAGGCCAGCCATAACTCACCTGCGAAACGTACAAAATATTAGCAATATGAAAAAAATGTGGTTATGGCAGCGTATGCTTTGTTGTATACTAATTTAATCCATTCTCCTCAAAAGTCAGTTACGAAACATATATTATTATGAAAAGGTAGGTATTCAAATAAAAATACTTCCCACATACCACTATTTCACCACAATCACAGCAAATAAATAAATAATGTTTGTCGCCGCTGCTGGTTCTAACTTAAAATTAAAAACCATCAAACACATGACATCTGGTCTGGGAGCGTAACGAACCATGCTTCCAACGTTGTAACGTCCTTTGACACGGGTCAAATTTGCCGACAAGAGCCCGAACGTGTCATGTGGCGAACGTTGGACACATGCAATTCGTCAGCGCTCTCCCACACGATGTGCCGAATGGCCATGTGTCCAACGTTCTAAGGCATTGGCCACATCGTGTGGGAGCGGTTTAATACTGCCAAAACATGGCGCCAAATGTCATTCGTGTTGCCCGTCGAATTGTTCTGAATATGCCTTCTTTCCGTGTATGGTGTATGTGTAAGTACATCAGTATTGCCAAGCCTACCGATTTTTCGATATCTCTATCGAAATGGGAGCTTATTTACTGAAATAAGGAGAACGCCAAAAAAGAGCTGGGACCAAAAATAAAGCTAAAAAAATAAATTATATGTAGTTTTATACCACATACCAATCATACATATGCGTACACTTAAGACAGTCGGGCATACGAAGAACGTAGATTTGGATTGCCTATGATTATCTAGGTACATCTCTTACTCCGCTTTTCCTGTATTTGTTTTTATGCCTATAACAGGTACGGTAAATTAGTATCATCATCAGCGAACAAGCAATCAGGAAACGAAAGATGGTATGTTTTTAATTAAATGCTAGGTGACGAAGTTCGGAAGCTCAGGGGCAAAACAAAAATATCACAATCTGATAACCATGAATGGAGCATGAAGTTTCTATATAGAATAGTTAAGGAGTTTCAAGAGCGACACGTATGCTCATTGTAAATAAGGCAATATTTTTCACGAAAAGGGGGCCACAAAAAACCTGTGTTGTCTGCGCGCGCAAAACTTTTGCTTTTTTTTCATAAACGGCGCTGTGTGACTCAAAGGCCCTTGAAACACCGCTGATCTTGCGACGGCCCTGCTTTTTGTCTTCTACCGATTTGGTCCTTGAATCTACAGAATTTCAACGGCACTAACTCTAACGATTTCGTGATTTCGTCTTTTTCGATTCGGCAACACTGCAGTATATATGTGTATTTTGCGAATTTGCGGGGTAGAAAATTCGTTGGGTTGTTGGGTAGAACAAGAACTCGACAAAAAACATTTTGATTTTTGATAAATTTAATGTTACCTTACCTAAATGTTACCAGTCTTATGTGTTTTGTGATGTTACCGATGTTATCTACAAACAACACGAGCAGGTGAAGGTGATGAACAGTAAACAACCTGAAACTTCTGGTGAAAATAAGGTGACAATAGCTGATACACTTAACAGGTAGATAATTTTTTGAATAGGTTGTTGGAGACTGTGATAGACTGTTCACCAGTGCTGTAGACGGCGTATATTAGGTACAAATTTTGGTTATTCTATTAGTTTATTATTACTACTTCTGGGGTTTCATATAGACACCATCATAGTAGCATCCTCTGTTATATCATTAACGTATTGTACCTAGACATACCCAACCATTTCGGCACCCAAAAATTATCCAAGATGAAATAGATATCCCAGCATTGATGAGAATTATTAGTCTCCGAACCGCAATAATTACAAATATACTTTGAAAAGGTAGTGCCTCATACATGGTCCTGTAGATTTCTCATTATTATGGAGATGAGAAACAATTGTGACAAATTTTCATAGATTAGTATAAATGTCTCATTTCATCTCAGACATTTTTTGGACGCTAAAATACAGTGCATGGTTGGCTATCTTCAAGTAGAATATGATGATAAATAGTTATCAGAATAATCATATCAATAATTAATAAAATTGATCATTGATGATTGATTGATAATTAATAATATTTAATAAAATTAGTAATTAATAATAATAATCATAACGATATGACAATACATATACAGAATCTCTTTACAGAGCAATGTTAAATAAAAAAAACTAGGTATGCTCTAAACAGGAATTTATTCTTAGCAGCACACTTCAACTCCTTAAGTTTACAGTTAAATGAATCAATGTGCCCAACTTATTAAAATGTGACCACAAATTTCAATGGCACTAGGTGTCTAATGACTTCATCTTTTTCTTTTCGGTAATACTGTATATACATGTATACATATATTTTGCGGTGTAGAATGAGTGGAACTCAACGAAAAACGTTTTGATAAATGTTACCTACAAACAACATGAACAGGTGATGAACAGTTAATAGGTAGATAACTTTTTGGATAGATTCTTGAAGACTGTGATCAGCTCTGTTCACCACTTTGCTGTAGTAACCTGACAGTAGGTACAGATATTGGTTATTTTTATTAGTTTATTATATATTAAACTTAGAGATACCCAACCATTTTGGCACCCAAAAATTATCCAAGATGAAATGAGAGAAATCTACTTTGCAAAGGTTAGTGCCTCATAGATGGGCACTGTAGATTTCTAATTATTTTGGAAATGAGAAACAGCTGTAACAAATTCTCATAGATTACTTTAGTATAATATCTCATTTCATCTTGGATATTTTGGATGCGAAAATAGAGTGCATGGCTGGCTATTTTCAGGTAGAATATGTTGATCAGCAATATAAATAGTAATCAGAATAATCATATCAATAATTAATAATTGATCATTGAGCAATGTAAAAGAAAAAAACTAGGTATGCTATACACAGGAATTTATTATTAGCAGCACACTTCAGCTCCTTGAGTTTACAGTTAAGTGGGTCAGTGTGCACCACTTATTCAAATGTGAACCTATTATTAATAATGGTGATTTAAACATTAGATTTGTCCTAGTGCCAGTAGATTAAAATGAAAATAATTGCCTAGAATTAAACTGGGGTATATTGAATTCAATATGTGATGAAAGATCTGGCCAGTCAATAAAAAGATTATACTCAATTCCTTGTTCTGGGTATATATGGTATATTATGTTACAAACAACAAAACCACTAGGCTAGTTGATTACAGATTGATCCCATGTCAGTTAAAAGCCCCTAAGCACATGAGCTCTGGATAGGGGGGAGAGTGCCAAGAAGTTTGGATGGAAATCCAATTTGTTTTTGTGTCAGATGGAACCCATTCATGCAATGCGATAGACAGGTTCTTTGTGATGATATAGCCAATATGGAATAGGTGTTTCTGAATTATTTGTTGTTTCAGAACAAGTATGGAAAAAGCTGACTTGACTGATGACATGGACAGAAAAGGAAATTTTAAAATGATGGTTGAAAATCACTTACCAGATAATGCAGACTGTGAAGATTTTCAAAGTGTAGGAATGATTCAACAGCTATTCATTAAATCTGAGGATATTCACAATGATGAAGCCAACCCTACAACAGCTTTGGATAGGTGATTTTTGGTTTGTTACCTAGAGAGTAGAAACAAAGCTCGTGTGTGATATGACAAAAATGAACAATCACTAGTTTACCATTTATAATAACTTCACTATCAAATGCAAACTGTGGTGATACATTCTACACCTAAAGCTTGTCTTAACTATTTCAGTGTGCTACCTTCTATCATCATCACTTTATGTCTGATAGATATACAAGGTGTTTCCTAATTGAATGTAAATGTAATATTTAAGGCACGATTATTGGGTCCAGTTCAAGAAAACTCCTTAAACGTCTTACTTTTAAGTTTTAAAATACAGGGTGGTAAAGTTTTAAAAAAAAATATGAAATTTGTATTAATATATGGGAGGTCTTGAATTTTCTTAGTCTGATGCACAGTTTTCAACTAAAAAATAACATATTTCTCTGCATGATGATATTGTGATATTAATATTGTTATGATCATGTAGAGCAGGGTTTCTTAAGCAGTGATTCGCGAACCCCTAGGGGTTCGCGAGCTATGTGAAGGGGGCTCGCGAAAAAATTATGGTTTCCGCGGAATTTGTCCTCAATATTGCAACACCGCCGCTACAACAATCCGGCATGAGTTCTACTTCGGTGAATCGAGCGCACCGAAACCTTTCTGAGCTGAGAATGCACTGGAAAGAACGATAATAACGCCTCGAGATATAAAAAGGACGCAGTCACGGAAGTACGAGTGCAATCGAACGCGCTTCCTGAGCCGTACGTATGTCGAACGTGAAATTAAACAAATATAATTGTATTCTGTGAATTTAAGATGGATAGTTGGTTAAAAACGGGAAGTTTTTATGACGGAAAGCCAGATGAGCAGTCAACTACTGCTTCTTCTTCGGTTCTTGATTTGTTAAAGTGTAAAAGTAATGAGAAAATAGACAAGCATGGTGGAAAAAAACGTAAATACGACCCTGACTATTCGCAAATGGGTTTTTATTTTACCGCGGAAGAGTCAGAACCTAAACTGCTTTTCGTAATTTGTGATGAAGTCCTGGCCAACAGTAGTTTCAAACCATCGCTTCTTCGTCGGCACCTTGAGACAAGACATCCGGATTACAAGGATAATCCTATTGAATATTTTAAAAGAAAATTGGAAGGTAATAAGAATTGTAGTGTTTCTTCTTTCCTGTCGGCTTACAACGCAGGTTACAGAATCACAAGATCTGGACAAGCTCATACAGTTGCAGAAAATTTGATCGGACCTTGTGCTAAAGACATCGCAATGTGTATACTTGGAGAAAAAGCGGCAAAAAATTGATCTTGAACCATTATCAAACAGCACAGTGTCACGGAGAATTAACGATTTGGCGAACATTGTTGAAAGTAAACTTTTGAAAAGAATAAAACTGAATTATTTTGCTATTCAGCTTGACGAGTCGACCGATGAAGCAAACTGTGCACTGGAAACTTATAAGACTGGTGCAGAAATTTTGAATCTGATCAATGACTATTTTGAAAAACATGAAACTAACTGGTCATTTTGCTTAGATGTCTGCACAGATGGTGCAAAATCAATGACTGGAACATGTTGTGGTCTTGTGGCACGAATAAAGAAGATCAACGAGAATATAGAATGAACTCACTAGTACTTTGAGCAAAGCTGTAAAAGTTGTGATTTTTATAAAGTCCCGTGCTACAAATTCTCGTCTATTCCGTGAACTTTGTGAGGACTTGGGAAGTCTCCACGTCTCTTTATTACTTCATACAGAAGTTGGGTGGCTTCCTCGTGGCGAAGTTTTGACCCGCTTGTTTGAATTGAAGTCTGAAGTTCTGGCATTTTTTCTTAACCATCCAATTCATTTGTCCGCTTCTGTGTCCGATATTCTGTGGCTCAACTGGCATACTTAGCCGATATTTTTTTCTAAATTAAATATCTTTACAAGGACCAGAAATCACCATTTTCAATGTTCATGATAGAATAGGAGCCAGCCATGCTAAAAAGTTCAACTTTTGGAATCAATGTCTGCCGATGAATGAGTACATTGTTTTGGTTCTCTCAGCAGCTTTTTATCAGAGAATAAAATTCAACTTAATGAAAACATCAAAAGAGATATTACTGAACATCTCAAACAGCTTCAATTAACATTCAAAGAGTATTTTCCTAATAAACCTGGATCAAACAACTGGATACGAAATCCTTTTGAAGGAGATATAATTTCTAACACTTGTTTATCTTTATTGGAAAAAGAAAAGCTCATTAATTTATCATCTGACAATTTTCAAAAAGCTGTTTATGCAGATCATTCTTTAATAGACTTCTAACTCAATGTAAAAAATGACCCTATCTTAGCAGAAAAAGCACAACGTATCTGCGTGAGAAAAAAGTATTTTCAACATACACTTACCTTACAGAAATAGATTAAATGCTGAACCCGATCTAAGACTTACGCTTTCGGACATCGAACCTAATTTTGAATTTCTTCGTTCCAACAAATGGGCACAAATATCCCATTGAGGATTTTTGCAAGTATCGAATTACTTGTATTCATATTATATTAATCCTTTTTTTGTAAGACTTAGTTAGTTTTAATAACGTTTCTCTAAATGTTTTACAGTTATGTTTTAATTTACTTTGCTCATTGTAACTATTATTCATATGATTAATAAATTTTGATGACAGCCTAATAGTACTGTTTTATTTACTCTCACTAACGACTGCTCAGGGGGTTCGCCGATATATACCAGTTTTTATAAGGGGTTCGCAGAAAGAAAAAGGAACCGCTGATGTAGAGAAACGTTTTTTATATTTTTAAGTGAAAACCGTGCATTGGATTGTGAAAATCAAGGGATCAAATTTGCCTGGAAGTGATTTTTAATTCACGAATTTTTATTTTAAGAGATAAGTGGTTTACCACCAATGTCTGCGAAAATCGGCAGGTGAAATCCCGTACGCACACCACTGGTAGACATTACAAAATTATGTTACATTACACAGTTCATGCATGCCAAATTTCATCAAAATATGTGAAGTGGTTATTACAGATATTACAAATAATGTATTTTTGAAAACTTTAGCACCCTGCATTTTAAAAGTAGACACTTATGACATAAGTTCATATGAAGTCTCCTTCTTAAAATGGACTCGAAAATTGACATCCAATTAGGACACGCCTTGTAGTTATTAGGGATGCACACAGTACTCAGATGGAACCTGGTACTCAGCATACTCGGCGCATTTCACAAAGTATCGGGTTTCGCCGAGTATTTAATTACTCGGTCGTGAGATTGCTCGGTCTAGGCGCAAGACACACAGCTTGTGTAAATCAAAGAATTGCAGATGTGATGTGTAGACTAAGCACATATGACTTTTGCCACATCTTCCTGGTATTTCTTTTTTGAGAAATTAATTCATCTTCAAAACAGTCAATTTACATCACATTGTTGCTAGAATGCTGTTCTTCCATCCCAACTATTGCTGCATGTATACAATGTTAAAAAAAAGTACTTATCATTGTTTTGCAAAACAAGTATAAAATAAAAAATAAAATTGAGTGAAATTACACCCATTGAAAAAACTTGTTAATATATACATAGGCAAAACATAAGAGTTACAAACAAAACAATTACATAGTCACATTAATTTAGAATCAAATAAAATCGTACAAAATCAGTGGCTAGTGTCCGATCATGCATTGCAGGTTTGAAAGCGCTGAGAGACTCGGTTTTAAGAGTGGAAGGAATCCTGTTGTACAAATTAAATGCTAGATATGAACAGACATGTTTTGTGTTTGTGAACATCCAAAGTTATGACTCGCAAATCTCAAATAAATAATACGAATGTTCTCAAAGATAGCTTTTCATTCAAGTAAACTGGTTGTGTCCTTAGTAACACTGATGGACCAAACAGCCCAGTTGATGTTTTTGTCTCATCATAAGTCAATTAATACTTTTAAGATTTTTTCAAAGTTTTGCACCTTTTGTATTTGTTGGGCTTCCATTTGAGTCAAACAAGGACCATGCGCACAGTCAGAGCTAGTTTAATTTTAGTATTCTTTGACGACATATTTCTGAAATTACAAAAAGTTTTTAATTTTGCAAAGCAATCATTTGAAGATGAATTGCCAACCTTGGGCTCTATTTGAAAGATGGCAAACTAAAAAACAGCAGACTCTGCAACTTGCTGAGCAATAGGCCATGATGTAAACAATGAAGTGCCTTGCTGAGGTCACGCATGACTGTGTGTGACATTACCATTATCTATTGCTCTAAGATAATCATCACAAACATCCACTAATGTGGTAATGGTGCTATTATGAAGCCTGAACCCTTAGTGGATGGTACTACCTGATAGTTTTAAATATGAACCATCATTTGATCTTATGCAATTCACTCCAGTACTTTGGATAGTAAAGATAGAATACTAATCTGTCTGTAGTCACTTAGTTGTTCTGGATTTTCCACTTCAGGCAAATGAGTAACATGAGCAACCTTCCACTGAACAGGTACGGTATTAGTTTCAATAGAATAATTTACAAGGTGAGATGAAAAATTAATGTGGGATAAGAATAGACCAAAAATAAAATTGGATATCAAGAAATCAATCAAAATAACTTTTCTTATTCCGTAGTGAGATTTCTTCATGGCGCAAAGATTCGCACTTTTTATCCCGCACAGCATGAGAAGTCTCGTAGTTTTTTTTGATTTCTTCATTCAGTGAGCTACACTTATTAAGGTGCCCACAAATTAGCAACCATGTGCGTCATACATGTATGTCAACCACGTTTGCGCGTTGATGGTTGCCGGTGTGTGGTGCAAAAGCCGCAAGCATGTGCGTCGTACAAGTTTTCCAGACTAGTCGGAATTTATCAACGCGCAAACACGAATTTGTAAACAAGATTGTCGGTGTGTGTCTTCTTCACGCATGCATTTTGGGTACAGTGTCTCGCGTGTTTATTATCAGTTTGTCGTCGCTTTTGACAATGTCTGATGTAAGACACTTTTCAAAAGGCTTTCTGGCAGATTTTATTGAACTTTACAAAGGTTATTCTTGTTTATGGAAAACTAAAAGTGATGATTACAAGCATCGAAATAAGAAAGATGCAGCTTATTTAGTTTTATAGAAAATATTACAAGAAATTGAGCCAAATAGTACAAAACAGTGTATGAAAGCTAAAATAAATTGCATCCGCGGTAGCTTTAGAAGATAAATGAAGAAAATAGAAGATTCCAAACGGTCAGGCAGAGGGTCAGATGAAATAAACAACACACATTTATGGTATTATGATTTATTGCTATTTACAAAAGATCAAGAAATGCCTCGAGAATCATTATGTACTTTCAAACTAACTTGCTTAACAATCTTGTATGCAGGTCTGGGCTCAAAATCTGTTGACATACATGTATGTCACACATGTATGAAAAAGGTGTATGACGCACGTGGTTGCTAATTTGTGGGCACCTTTACACTTATACACTGTTTTTGCACACCTTTTTTTCGTGTCCACTACTAAACAGAGGGCACACGGTTTTATTCTTGCAATGTTTCTGTAAATGCCTATATTGACAGCCCTTTTAGTACCTCATAATGGAAAGATAATCATAAACCTGACATCTACACCAACCAATGTTTAGTTTCCCCTTTTGTATGACAGTGGAATACAAAGAAGAGTCTGTTTCCAGCACAGAATCAAATTTATCATCCTTTACTGGATATTTATAAATAAACTTGAAAGGACAATTTGCAGATCATTCTGTTTTACAATTTTCTGCATCTGCATCTGTATTAAATTAATCTTTACTAATGCCTACCACCTTGATTCTTGGATTGCGCTATTTGGGAAGTGTAATGGTACAGTTCTGTGACAAACTAGGTTCACTTTGTCTAAATATTGCTTGCTGTCACATTTGAGGATGACATCCCTTTTAGCTGTAGTTCCTGTGTGCTGAAAACCAACCTGCAGCATATCAGGTTAAATTTTAGCTACCAGTTGCGTTTTCAGAAAATTCTTATCATTGATTCTGATCCCAGATCCTTTTTGACAGCAGCTCTATAGGATAATTTACTAACCTCTGGTTGATTCTGGAATGAATCGGTAGTGTCTTTGCAATTAATTACCTCACTTAAACGCCAAAGAACCTTAGGTTCTTCCATTTTAGCATTCTGAGCAGTGATAACTTTATGGCATGCATCCAGTTTTTTTTAACCTCAGCGAAGACTGGCCCAAAAGTTGAGCTCTCGCAAGATTACATCGAGTGATTCGTGCTCCTTTTTGGCTCAGATGAGCTTATTGTTAAAAATTAATAAATATCCCAACAACGTGACGTCTCACAAAAAACATCAGCCTTATATTTTTATCACGATGTGTTTACTACCGATAAAGTGCGGAAAAACAGGGTAGTACTAACGGTTTTATCACTCAGAGGCCGTAAAACCACTTTGTGTTTGAAAATTATTTTCCACATTTTTCCACTAAAACTGCAGCATGAATCAGGAAACAAATTTAACACATTCTATAATGATGCCGAACTAACGTGATCAATGTGTGTGATGTAGACTATCTTCCATAGTATGGCTCTTTTCATGGTGTTTGGCTATTACATCACAATGTCATAGGAAATAAGTATGCAGATTTACTATCTGTACCATAAAACTATTAAAATCTTCAAGTTCGTAATTTGCGCTTTGATTGATAGGTCTAATCCCTTTATTTTCCAGAGAACCGGATGTTAACTGGGAGATAGATAATAAGAACACACTTGAGGTGGATGTAAATATGAAGACAGATAATGCAATTAACAATCTAAATGAATGTGATATAAATACGAACCTAATTACTGAATTAGTCTTAAGCAGGTATGTATTATTCAATCATTACACTGATCGACAGCCAAAAAATATCCTAAATAAAATCAACAAAATATTACTATTTTTAATGTGCTAAAACCGGAATGAAACTTGTTTTTTCAATATTAGTTCAAGTTTTAGAGATACGGTAATTATATGTGTTCCTGCTGTGACAGTGTTAATATACTGTAATTCACAAGAATGCACGTGCTACATTTTTATATTCGGCAAGGAAAGATGATGTAATCGGCATGATTGTGTTACGTTATAAATACGTGTACATTATATTGTTTTATATTAGCCATTTTTTCCTCAGTTAGCTGACAGCGTTCATGCAAGATGTCTCGAAAGTGTGTAAACAATCCAGATCAGTTTTGTTACGTGTGTGGTGATGTGACTTTTGCGTCTCAGAGACGGTCTATTACTCCACTAATAACAAAGGCATATCAGCTTTATTTCGGTTGTAAACTAGGTGATCAAGACAAACAGTGGGCACCCCACATCTGCTGTAATACATGTGCTTCAAGTCTGAGCAGCTGGTTAAATGGCAAAAAACGGTCTATGCGCTTTGCTGTCCGAATGGTTTGGAGAGAACCTACAAATCATATTAATGATTGTTACTTTTGCATGGTACCTTGTGTTGGACAAGCCACAGGTATGTCCAAGAAAAAAAATCGGTTATTAACTACCCAAACATACCATCTGCGATGAGACCTGTGCCTCACAGTGACGAAAATCCTATTCCAAAACCCTCAGAACCCTACACTTGCGAAACAGAAAACGAATCAGATCATGGCGATCGAGTGATTCGTCAGGAAGAAGATATGCCATCAACGTCAAGAGATCCTGATTTTAAACCGAGCACGTCATGCCACCAACCGCACAAAATAACACAGTCAGTATTAAATGATCTTGTAAGAGATTTAGAACTTCCAAAATGTAAGGCAGAGTTACTTGGATCAAGACTGCAGCAGTGGAACTTGTTAGAAGACGATGTTTCGGTATGTGTTTTTCGTAAACGCCACAAAGACTTAGAACCATTTTTCAATATGGAGAATAACTTGGTTTTCTGCAGTAACATTAACGGCTTACTGGCGGCTTTAAATATAAACTATAACCCAGAAGAATGGAGATTGTTTATAGACAGTTCAACATTGAGTTTGAAGGCAGTGTTATTGCATATTGGAAATATTTTACCATCTCTTCCTGTAGGGTATGCAGTTCACATGAAAGAATAATATGACAATATGAAGTACCTATTGACATGCATAAAATACGATGAGCACCAATGGCATATTTGTGGCGATTTTAAAGTTGTTGCACTTTTACTTGGGCTGCAGCTAGGCTACACAAGGTTTTGCTGTTTTTTGTGTGAATGGGACAGTCGGGCAAAGGCACTTCATTACACCAGACAAAACTGGCCTGTTCGTCAATTCCTAGAGCCAGGTCAAAAAAATGTACAGCATATGCCATTAGTAGATTCGAAAAAAATTTTATTACCACCACTGCATATCAAGTTGGGCCTAATGAAACACTTTGTCAAGGCATTAGATAGAGATGGGTCAGCTTTTCAATACCTGCGTCAGAAATTTCCAAGACTAAGTGAGGCAAAGGTTAAAGAAGGTATTTTTGTTGGGCCACAGATTCGAAATATTTTGAAAGATACACAGTTTGAAAACACTTTAACAGGTATTGAAAAAACTGCTTGGAATGATTTCCGTCTGGTGGTCACTAATTTCTAGCTGACAACTATAAAACCCTTGTCAAAAATATGCTGTCATCGTATCAAAAGATGGACTGTAATATGTCTCTTAAGATTCATTTCCTACACTCACACCTGGACTTTTTTCCTGACAATTGCGGAGCCGTAAGTGATGAGCACGGCGAACGTTTTCATCAGGATATTTCAACAATGGAAAAAAGGTACCAGGGAAAGTGGAATCCTTCCATGCTTGCAGACTACTGTTGGACTCTTGGTAGAGATGCTCCAGAAACGATCCATAAAAGAACAGCAAAAAGACAGCGCATATAGTGATTCTTATAAGTATATGAATCTTGTTACTTTTTTTAATATATCCTTAAAAATAAAAAGTTTTTTTTCTAAACCGCAACTAATTTTTTATTTCATTGTCATTTTTGGATTCAGCGCCCCAAAATTAACAAAGAAGTGCACTTTTCCCACAAGATACAATTAAAAAACTAAAATTTGTTGTCTAGTGTTATTGGATTCTATGCAAGAGTCTAACATCCTATCCCTTAATCCAGCCATTTTTGAGATATCTTAAATTTTGTGTAAAACAACAAATGAACCATATTCCTATATTTGTGTCTTTGCTATACAGCTGTAATGGTTTTCTTATTTCAGTAAAATGCATTGAATAAATGCAGGCTAAATAGGATACACAACATCGCTTTGTGATTTTTAGCAATCATCAGATGGTGTGATAATAATATTTATTTGCCCCTAAAGGGTCCATAGGAGGCATAGCCTCTACATGGACCATCAATGTTGCAACTGCATATTATTGAAGTATGAATAAATATACAACTAATAAATAAATTATTTGTTGTTTACATTTACTACTAATTTGTGTACGTATGATCTTGCCAGAGAAAAAAATCCATTTTTTTAATTTTCTCTTGAAATTATTCCTAAATAGTAGGCCCTAGATATCATCAGGGAAATGTAAATCAAGGTATGATCGTTATGTTGTAGATTTATTTGGTCTAGGTACAACTGTTCCTCTTTGTTTATGCCTTGTGTGGTGATTGTTTAATTTTTCAGTCGTTATAAATAAATTTGTAGTATGTAAGAGATAAAGTCACATACGTTATATTTTTGTATAAGATATCAGTTGGATATAATTTTGGTTTGTTAAAATCATTTCTTGAAAAATATCCAAATCATTAATATGAGTTGAGCATGTAGCTCCCCATACCAATATACCGTAGGTTAAATATGGCTCAATCAAGGTGTAGTATAAGCTATTTAATTTTATACAAGACATATCTAACTTCCAAGATATTTTCAATCTGATGCTCTACTAATTTTCAATTTCTGATTATTTACGATAGAGGGTAATTTTGACAAAATCATTTTCAATTATAGTTTTTTAAATGGGATCAATCATCACCTTTATAAATAACTGCTGTGTCATCTGCGAAACTTACATTTTTCCCACACAGTCAAGTTAAAATTTGTCATTTAAATTCACTGCAGTAATTTGAACTTTTTTGCTATCTGGAGAAAATGTTTAAAGCTTTAATTCCGTTGGTGAAATCAGATGTATCATGACTATATTGGAGAATATCTCTTACATCTATCTCTATATCGTTTTGATTATCAGCTCCACAGTTGTACAGCATATCATACTTGTGTATATTGAATAAAGAAGTATCGAGCACTTGTCATGTTTCTGTTGTCGAAATCAAACTGAATCCTGTTAAGAAGTATTTTGAAATAACCAATATTATGATTTGTGCTTCTTATATTCACACGGAAAATTTTCAACTTCAAATTAGAATTTTGATAGAATTACGGCGTATTTTTAGAATCAAAAAGTCGACTGGACATGGTTTGCCTCTATGCATATACAGGTACAGTTGTATTCATAAAAAAAGCGTACACGAATTACAATGAGAGGAAACCTTAACCTTATTTGCGTAAAACCGGCTTATCGCATGTTAAAGGTTATTAAAAATGCAAAGCATGGGCGTGGGGCATTAGTTCAATACAGTAACAAAAATGTATTTCTTTATTTTACATCTTAACAGTTTTATAAAAATTACAATAGAAACAAAAAACGATTAACAAGAATAAATAAAATCTACTATTTGGTCATATATCACTGTTTTTCTATTACTTGAGCCAGTCTATTCGGAATTGACTGAATTATATTTGATACAATGTTTGGATCAAGCTCTTCCCAGCACGCATGTATTATTTCCCATAAATCTTCTGAATTTTGTGGCCTAAAATTTCGATTATATATTTTTTTTACGATTATACCCCAAATATTTTCGATTGGATTGATATCGGGACTATAAGCGACCCAAGGCAGCACTTCCACATTATCGGTTTGAACCCAGTGGGTTACAGCATTGGCCGTATGAACTGGACAATTATCTTGTTGAAATATGAACGTATTATTGGGATATATTTGCTCAGCACTTGGTAACAATATGTTTTCTAAAATGTTAATGTAATTTCCGGCATTAAATCTTCCCTCTATTCGCCAACAAACACCAGGTCCATGAACACTTATCCAGCCCCATACATTTACAGAGAAACGCCCAGGTCTAGAATTGAGGGGGTTAGTATATCGCTCTTCAAACCTGGTATTGTTTGGACGGTAAACACGAATTTGGCCGTTATAAGTCGACTGGAACGTCTTTTCATCAGTAAAAATGACCCTGTTCCAAAATTGAGGATTGCGGTATATATAATTTAAAGCAAAAATAATCCTTGATTGTCGCCGTTCTTCGTTAAGAAACATTTTTTTCGCAGCAGGGTGACATTTTAGTTCAGATTTCATTACTCTCCTGCTGGCGGTAGGTTGGGAGGCAGGAAATGCTGTATCAATAACAGCATCCCTTACAGTTGCAAATGGATTATTTCTTAAATATCCCAAAAAAGCAGCAACCTGTTCAGGGTTGGTAAGTTTGGGACGACCAGAACCAATTTTCCTCTTTAGGGAATCTTCCTGTTCCCAGCGTTGCTTAATTTTCAATATGGTTTTTTTATTTCTATTATACAACTGCGCTACAGCACGGATTGACCATCCTTCTTCGATTCTTGATACAATTTGAGCCTTTTCAACTTCAGACAACTGACGAGGCATTTTTATTTTCTTCTGTCAAAGTTTATCAAACGTTACCACCACGCATTTTCGAAATGAATTACACCGACGTCATAGCTTTGCATGTTTGACAATCTACGACGTGTGATAACCTCCAATAAACAATCATTTAGACAAGCCGGTTTTACGCAAATAAGGTTAAGGTTTCCTCTCATTCTAATTCGTGTACGCTTTTTTTATGAATAGAACTGTATACTTCGTTTGTTCGTTAGAGGGCGTCAACGTTTTCTTTTTGAAACGTATTTTTTCAGATGTTTTCGGAACCGATAGTCCGATTTGAATGAAATCTGGAACACGTATTTTTTTGCTAGACGACCTAACATTTAATTTCTGCAAATAAACCCGAAATGGTTCGAGAAGGGTGAAAACTACCCCCACCCCTACATTAATTATAACAATTTTTTCCCAACTCTGCCAATGAACGATATTTTTTATTTAAAAGATCCTTTTATTAACCCCATTTTTTGTCTCCTATAAAAACAGTCCACCTCGCATAGTTTTCGAGAAAAAATGTTTTTCGGACCTGGTTTCTAAAAAAATGTCTCATTACATGAAGTGTAAAAATCTAGCGGGCATTTATAGTTGGCGAAAATGAGGGATGTTATGTCAGATTATGTTTTACAACAAGCTCCATACAGTAATTAATGGCTGATATGTTGTTAGTACTTGGTTTTTGAGAATGTAATTGCAAACGTTAATTTAAAATCTATGAACAAACAATTCAACAATCAATCTTCGTAGCTTCTTGGCTACTCATCAGCATGATCTAGGCGTCAATCTATAAACAACGAATGAAAGTATTACGACTTTAGTTTGTGAAAAGTGTGGGACCTATCTGAGTAAGAATATGCAAAGCGCATTCTATAACAAGGATCTACCACTCGAGAGAGAAAGAGTGCTCTATAGAGCAGCTACTGGTCTAAACTGTACTTTCAGTCCACATTTAATAGCCAAGTCACCACTGTGACCGCTAGGTGGCTGACGATTCTAGCTTTCGTAGATATGGTCTACTTGCCATTGAATGAACCAAACATAATGATTCCGTCTGTCGGACCAAAGTCAGCCGACCGTGGACAGGTGATTCATGACTTTTGGCTACTCATCAGCATGGTCTAGGCGTCAATCATCTCTAGACAACGAACGAAAGCATAGCGACAACCTTTTATGAAAATTATGGGATGTATCTGAGGACAACAGCGAAAAACATCATCTATAACCAGAATCTACCGCTCGAGAGAGTGCATAGCGCAGCTACTGGTTTGAACTGTACTTTCAGTCCACATTCAATCGCCCAGTCACCACTGTGATCGCTAGATAGCTGACGATTCTAACTTCCGTAGATATGGTCTACTTGCGATTGAATGAACCATACATAATGCTTCCGTCCGTCGGACCGAAGACAGCCAACCATGGACAGGTGATTCATGACTTTTGGCTACTCATCAGCATGGTCTAGGCGTCAATCGTCTCTAGACAACGAACGAAAGCATAGCGACTACCTTTTATGAAAATTATGGGATGTATCTGAGGACGACAGAGTAAAGGTCCATCTATCACTAGAATCGACCACTCGAGAGGGTGTATACAACAGCTATTGATCGGAGCTGTACTTCAGCATTAAAATTAGAACTAAATACATTTTGTTAGTTGTCCAAGCACACCTTACCACAACAAGTGTATGTTTTACATACCATGTTCATACTAAGTTACTAGGCATTTATAGGTTAAATATAAAATAAACGTGTTTTTATAAATTTCATGAGTACAAGTTTTTTTTCCGTTTCCGAACTTACAGATAATACTTTAAATTTAGCTTGTCCCCTGGTAACTCTAAATAGAAACTAACCCTAATCAAGTTACAAACAATCAATGTTCAGTGTAACTTTAATTGTTGTTAACGTCTTCCGGTTTATTAATTTCGTGTCTATAGTGATTGAGTGAGTAAGATCAAAAATAAACAATATTTTCCATCTATTCCAGAATTAAAAACGAATATAGTGAACTTGATAATATAGATGAATATACCGCAAGTAATAACGAAGATCTCAACGTTCATCTTAGTGAAGTAAACCCAGCCATTGATGTGGATAGTGAAGACGTCAAGGGAACAGAAATCACTGGAGGTTTCACTACCAAGAGTGAAGGTGGAGTAGGCGTGGATGCAACTTCGGATGTAACTTTGAATGGGTGAGTTTCAGTTGTAGTAAATATATATTTTATTTGTATTTGCATTTTATAGAAATAAGGCTGATACAAAAACTGTTACACATTTCTCAAAATAAAAATTAACCTAGCAGCCACGTTAGCTATTGCAGATGCCATGGAGCTAAAATAGCGTTCTTCGCTATAGATTAATCTGGATAGATAATACAATCTAGAAGGACATCGTAACGTTTGTTTGAATAAAATCTTTAGAACGCCAGTTTAAGAAAATCAAACCTTTTCCAATTAACAAGTTAATTTTTCTGCAGAATTTTGATCGAGTGCCTATTTCTATATATTTGATTTCTCTTATCACTTACCTTTTCCAAAAACTGAATAAGCTAGTTAGTCGTGAGTATCTTCTCCAAACAAGAAAAAAAGTTATTTTAATCTATGTTCTGGAACATACGTGAAAAATTATAAACCTACGATATGTTTCATGCTATCGATCTAAGGTTTTGTTGAATACGATGCCTGAACATGGTTCTAATGGTGAATATTACCATGAGAAAAATCAAAAACACGACTTTTTCCATGAGCCTCCTGGAGTGGCGCTAATAAGTAAGAATTTGTGTTTTTCCAGGCCCTATTCCAATCTTCCTACATTCAAAACGTGCCCACACTGCAATGCAATGTTTAAAAGGAAAGCAGCATTGGATGATCATGTCATTAAGAAGCACCCGAATTTTATCACAACAATAAATAGAAAAGTATACGAATGTACATTATGTATTTTTAAAACCGTTACAAAAAACTATCTGATTAAGCATATGGCAACACATTCCGACACGGTTTCCAGTAAGCTCATCACTTGTACTCATTGTAATGCAACATTCAAAAGTGGTGCATCATTGGATGACCATATAGTTAGGAAACATCCTGATTTTATTACAAACATTGATAGAAAAATATATGAATGTACGGAATGTTCGTATAAAACTACGGTAAAGAATAATTTGAATAAGCATGTCACAGTAAACCACGTCACTGATTCAGATAGAAAGAGTTTTTCGTGCATTCTCTGTGATGCGATATTTAAAACTGATGTATCTCTGGATAACCATCTGATAAAAAAACATCCAATTACCTCTACATCAGTTACTAGGAAAACTTTACAATGCCCAAAATGTGATTATACAACTGTTCTTAGAAGTCATCTCAACAGGCATATGTTGAAACACCCTGATATTGAATCGAGTTACAAACCTAGACTATGCCCTCACTGTAATAAATCGTTTAAAAGTAAAGTAGCATTAGATGCCCATATAGTTAGAAGACATCCTGAGTTTATTACATCAGTTACTAACAAGTTACACGAATGTGGAGAATGTATGTACAAGACTACTAATAAGTGTCATTATGTTAGGCATATTTTAACTCATTCAGAGACGTCTACTTGTAATAGATGTAAACACTGTAATAAAACTTTTAAATTGAAAGCAACACTGCACGATCACGTCATTAAAAACCATTAAGCGGCATTTTCATGAGATTGTCGTGCCTCAAGTGAGACATGGTCATATGTGTGTGTGTGTCTTTCAGCGCTAGCTAAAGAGAGCCATTGTGGTACGGATTGAAATTTCTAGTTCTAGAAACTGCTCAACCATAAATTATGATGAGCTCCAACGCGTGGGTCCTTTTTGTTTTAGCTTCTTTGGCAGTTTTTCCACCAAATTTTGTTCTAGAAGTTTCGCTGGTACAGAAAAATACGTTGGCAGTTATTAGCCTTGGGGGATAAGAAAGATAAAAATATTTTATAATTTCTGTATAATTAAGGCCACATTTTTGGGTAAAGCCTTTAGCAACTAGCGGTGCTCTAAACACCCTCTTATTTTTTACGATATTTTTTTGAGGTAGTCTATCGACTAACTCCCATGCATTGTTGGCTTTAAGAGCATCCAACTCTTTTTATAGCACTCTTCCATTCCATTTATTCGGAACCAGATAAAGCTTCAGAAAGTATTGCAAGTATGACAAGTCGCTACCATTGCAAAATCAAGATCATCATCCATTAAGTATTCAAGGGCGTCGTCAGCCAATGGCCCAAGTAAAGTCAATAGCACATCAAATTTGACACGTGTAGTACGAGTATTCCTATGGTGATTGTGATAAGAACAGTCTAAAGTCCAATTTGTGAATCTCCACGAGCTCTTTGCTGTACAGAAAACGAAACTTAAATTAAATTATGTTATTATATTTATTATAAGAGTTTGAGTCAATATTTTCTTAAATGAGTATACAGATAAGTCTAATACAGTATATGTACTTTAATTGAAACATAATTTTCTTTTTTTTGCAAACTCCTCGACCACTTTATTATGAAATTCCAAGTTTGCTTCAGCTTCATGTGCACACTCATCATGGCCAGACCATTCGAGCGATTTTCGCCCATGGTGCTTCTAAACCAGATTTTTAGTCTCCTGAAGCTGTTAAATGAGCGCTCTACCGTACATGTTGTGCTTGGTATAGTGATAAAAATTTTCAACGCCTTTTCTGTTTCGGGAAGAAAGTTTTTGCCTCTTTGATGGCATCAACAACGGTTAAGTTTGTTAAGTTTGCTGCCAACGTTCGACTTCAATATTTAATTATAATATTTTTCGATATTTTGGCAAGTTTCTTTGAGTTCGTCGAGTGACATCGTTTGCATTTGCACCGAGTGTAATTTGGACAATTCAAATGCTGGAGTGTTGTCATCAGGAAAACGTGTTTCAAGCGATCTAATAATGGAGTCCAAGTATGGTATTATCATTGGCCTCTTCCAGAATTCTGAAGGGTTTTCTATTGGGTGATTGCTTCGATTGCGTTGTTTTCCTACCATGGCTCTTAAGTAATTCTAAAATGCTTTTAATGTGTTGCGAGGCCTTCACAACGTCGAAGGCTGTGGATTGAAGCACGTTCACAATAGTTTCCAACATAGCAGAGTATTTGGATATCAAAGTAATGGCAAGAATAAACGAAATTTTGGAAGCAGCCGCATGGAGTTGAAAGGCATTTTTTCGAGTGGCACTATTTCCTTCTCGCGATAAGGCTTCCAATATTCGATGGAAATTCTCCATGAAAACTCTGATGGTTTTATGTTTCTCATTCCCGAGAAAATGTAATGATATATTTGGTGGTTCCCATGACATTTCGAATTTCGGGAAGAATGTTGAGATCATTAATTACTAAATTTAATTTGTGGGTCGAGGAATGCAAGAACAAAGCTCTGGTATATATTTGGTATATTTTGCGCATGATTGCTTGTACTCCTCCTTTTCCGGACATCGTCGAGCAACCGTCAAACCCCAATTTATATTTTATATAGATTTCGTATCCAGATATGCTTCTGACTTTTTTACTTTTGTCGTAATGTCTGCCTTAATAACATCTCCACAATTTCCGATAACTTCATTTTAAATCTCAACGGATTGATAAGGTTTCTTTAAAACCAAATCTCCAGCATCAATTCGTAGCTCGTATAAGTCCTCCAAAATACCTTCGCCATAATGCTGCTCCCGATCGCGCAAATAGTGATAAGTGCAGGATTGTAAGACACTGCGACATATATTACGAGCCTACGGCTTCGTTAGGGTGCCCTTAACGTACTTCATTATAAAAATATCTTTTAATTCAATAAAAAATAATCTTTTGTAATATTTGGAGGTTTAGTCAGTAAAGTTAAAAAATTGTGCAATTTGCATTTTGATTAAATTAGCTTTTGATGAATTGGCTTTTTTACCACTTCACAAAAATCGTCAACATCGTACACATTTTTTTTCTTTTGGTGGTAAGCTCAACTTGGGGATGGGACAGAACGGATCGGCTGCCATGAAAATATGGCCTGACTCAAAAAACTTGAGTACTATATTTCCTACAGCAACTTCTGAACTGTTAACCAAATACATACAGAAACCAAAAAGGGGCCAATTTTTATTTTGGGTCGAACAACCATCAAGCCAAACTGTTATATGTTTAATGTCGATATTTGCCAGAAAAAAAGCATAGAACGTAGAAATAATCTTCTCAATCTTTGGATCTGCCAACAATTCTCTCACACCACAACATAACCAAATGGTAGGTACCTATTGGACTTCTGTCCAAGCTCTCATCATATGCTACGATACGTGGCCTAAAATATTTTCTTTGAATGTTTCCAAATAAGGCAGCATGGTCACCTGAAAATTAGGGAAACTGTGTTTAAATAATTCTACCATCTACATCAGCTTCATGAGATGTGGCTTTTTGTGTATTTCAAACTCTTGGCAGTCCTAGCATTCTTGATTTCCCAGATTGGCAAAGGATATATTTAGGTCATTAGTACTCAATTTTTCTGTACAATTCGTAAGAAAAATTTGTATTTGGATATTTCAGTCTAAAATCTTCGTACACGAGTGTTATGTTTACATCACTGGGAAGATATTTTCTGTGAGGAGCCTGCTCTCTTCTGTATTGCGATAGTTTTTCTTTCCAATTGAGCCCATTTTCATCTGCATTGTAAACGTTTTCGAGGGCGTAATTTTATTCCTTCAGTAACTCCCTTAGTTTGATTTTGAATGAATCTGCTGCTGATGAATCAGCCGACAGTTTTTCTCCGTGTATTTGCAGCTTACGAATGCCATGTCTCGACTTAAATCTTTTCAACCAGCCTGTGCTTGCTTGAACATTTGATGGACCTCTGAGTTTATCGTTGAACTGAAGTGCTTTTTCACACAGAATCGAACCAGAAACAGGTTCTCCCTGGGATATTTTCTGAGTAAACCACTTATATACAGCATCATCTAAATCCGTTTTTGAGGCAAGAAGAATCAAGCTGGGACATAAAGTTACATATGCTCGTCTTTTGTTTTTTTATATCCGTAATGGTGACTTACCAACTTTGCATTCATTGGATAACTTTGTTGCAGATTCACCTTCCTCTAACCGTTTATTAATCTCGTATTTATCTTTCATAGAAAGAACAACACGCTTACGTTTAGGCATTTTCAAACGAGCGTTTACTTTCACGC